GGACTACTATCTCACTATTATTATGTATTGGTTGCAACACATCTGAGAATATATGGAATGGTAAACCTTCTTTGATTTCATTCGATTTAATTCAAGAAAGCTCATATTATACTGTTTAGTTAGTTCAAAAAGTCAGACATAAATCAATTCAAAATTTTCGGATTTATGTTCAATTACTCTTTTTAATTTACCACTTTAAATTATTATAACTGTTGTTCAATGTGGATACTAATTTACATTCGAGCACCGGCGTGGTCGCATCGTCTGATGCGAGTATCCCGGGCATCTTATCCTTTAAACCACGATGACAGTAAGTAATATTCTATCTCTTATCATATCGCCACGGAGCAAAATTATTACACTGAAACACAATTAGATGCTGGAGTGAAATATATTTTGAGTGTTCAGATTATAAACAGGACAAGCGTCGTGTTGACAATTTTTTCAGTAGCCGCAGCCACATCCGCATCCGCCTAGCCTCCATAGCCGAGACCGTAGCCGCCTCCGTAGCCTCCATAGCCAAGACCGTAGCCGCCTCCGTAGCCAGCTCCATAGCCGAGTCCACCCTCGCGGGTAATACCAACGGCACCGTTTCCGCAGCCGTAGAGGATTTCACCAATACCGGCGGTGGGGAACTCGCCAGCGACATCAGCAGTACCAAGGAACGGCAGGTTGCCGCAGACACCAACGGTACCTTCGTACCTGTTCTCAGAAGCTACACCCAGACCAGTGGGAGCAGCAGAGGCAGTAGCTACAGGGAGACCACCACCGCTGAAACCACGGCCGCATCCACCTCCATAGCCCCCGTAGCCAGACCACCATAGCCCAAACCACCATAGCCCAGACCGCCGTAGCCACGACCTCCACAACCACAACCGATGCCCAAAACGGACTGTGAACAATGTGAAGTAATTCAATATTATATTAATATTATTATTAGGTACCTACTTATTCGAAATATCGGCAAAGCGAGCAGCTGTTTGCTCTATGGAGTTTTTAATATTAGAATGCAATTTACATTAAATGTAAGTTTTAATTGTAAAGACGTACCTGAGCCACGAGGGCGGTGGCGCAGACGAAGAGAATGAGTTTAGCGGCCATGTTGTTTCACTGAATGACTTCAGAATGAGTTCACTTGAGCAACTTCAGCTTTTATACACAACTATTTCCTTATCGCTCTCGTAGAATTTATCATAATGAATTATTGACGTGACTTTTGAGGATTTCCAAATTGTAACCTTCTGAATCAATAGTGATTTTCGTGTAATTTTGAAATAAACTAAAAATACTTGAACGCAGTAAAGATTACTCTAGTTTCACAACTTTTCATTATGAAATTCTGTTATCCGAAGGTGACCACGACCCTCGGCTGCTATATAAGGTGGATGTTCTGTAGTTGGAAACATTCTAGATCAAGTGTCTGAATACATTGCAACATGTCCACCTTCGCTTTCCTCCTCCTCTGCGTTCAGGGCTTGCCTGATCCAAGTAAGTATTTCATTTATTTTCTATTTAAGGTAAATTTTACGTTCCGAAAAGTCTTCTGTAACTTTCTCGGTTGTATTTAATGTAGTAGTATGCGATTCTTTTCAAATGTTTAATCTGTGTGACTGTTTTGAACTGTGTAAAATTCGAGATCTAGTATGAGACACTTTATTTGATTTTTACCAAATATTATTCTATGTAAATATTTTAGAACGTGTGCGGACAGTGGCTGGGAGTGGACTGGGAGGCTGCGGCTGTGGAGGCGGCCTGGGCGGCTACGGACTCGGTACGGCTTGGGTGGATATGGCGGCGGATATGGCTATGGCGGATACGGTGGTGGTTACGGTAGCTATGGCGGCGAGGGCGTCGGTAATGTGGGTGTCGCCGGTGTGCTGCCCGTCGGTGGTGTCACCGCTGTCGGCGGACGCGTGCCCATCATCGGTGGTGTCGAGTTCGGAGGTCCCGCCTGCGCTGGCGGCTGCGTCTCTATCTGCGGACATTGCGCCCCTACCTGCGGCTGCGGTGGTCCCTATTACTGAAGACATTAAATGGCATGATGCAACGAGGTCCTGTTCTCATGAAATATAAATATTGAAAATTGACAATTGATTGAAAAATAAATCTTTGCAAGCATCAAAATCTGCTTTTAGTTTAATCGTGAGGATGAAGTGGCTGTCAGCAGTCTGCATTGCTAGTAGAACAGATGTTGACTTGGGTAAAAAAATTCTCGAGTAGTGACAAAACACCGGAAGGTTTTCCTGGTGGTAGGACCTCTTGTGAGTCCGCGCGGGTGGGTACCACCACCCTGCCTATTTCTGCCGTGAAGCAGTAATGCGTTTCGGTTTGTGAGCTAGCCGTTGTAACTATACTTGAGACCATAGAACTTATATCTCAAGGTGGGTGGCGCATTTACGTTGTGGATGTCTATGGGCTCCAGTAACCACTTAACACCAGGTGGGCTGTGAGCTCGTCCAACCAATAAAAAAAATCCTTCACCGTGGAAATCAATCGTGAACATTTGTTGAGTACGTATTTCATTAGAAAAATTGGTACCCGCCTGAGATTCGAACACCGGTGCATCGCTCAACACGAATGCACCGGACGTCTTATCCGTTAGGCCACGACGACTTCAAAATGCCGCTATGACGAAGTGCCAATATCCTGCGACGCAGAAATCATTAGATGATGCCCGGGAAACCTAAAGCCCACCGCGCTAGCTACCGCTCCATTAGTTTCCTCGTGTCTTTAGGTAAACTGCACGAGACCCTCCCAACAATCATCAGAACCGTTTTCTTCGACGATGCGTAGTCACCATGTCTGACACAGCAACGGTTGATTTATAAATTATGGGTTTCATACGTGTCGAGCCTGTGTCGTTCGCTTCGATATTGAGTTGAGAGATCTACATTCTTAGCGCGTCAAAGTATTGTAGAATTCCGCAAGATTCCTTCCTCGCCTCACCTTGTACAGTCATTACATTAAAGACATTTCTCGGTCACCATTGACCCAGCTATCCAAAGGCACTGAAGGAGCAGCTGTTACCTCGGGCATATCTTTCAAACATGTCAAGTGGTTAAACAAGATTAACCCTACCAAGAGCATCTGGATAAGGCAAAGGTGGTGAGAAAAGGGGACCTTAATCCGCATCTCACTCCGCTGTAGACGCAGGCACATCAGCTCCCAATCACTCTATTTGGCCAATTAATAGTCTGGATCAGGAAGGAGAAGTATCTGAGAATCACTCTGGATAGCTCAGTTCTCGCACCGAAGTAATCCGTGATCTTGCTGTTTTCATTCTAAACAAATTATATCCAATAATCTGCAAACGCAGTAAGCTGTTCCTTTCTTTGCAAAACATTTCTTTTCTTTAGAAACATTCTTTACAAAATATGCTTAGACCCTATAATGAAACCCAAACCGAGTGTAGCTGGAAGATCTCTCAAGACTATAAGCTTGTAGGGAAAACAATATTACGATATATGCGAATGTTGAAGTTGGGTATACTAATGAAGATGACATGCCGTATGTCTGGTTTATTTTAGCTATTTTCACAGTGCTATGGGGCAATGCTGCCGATGTCGAAACGATTTTCATCCTGAAGAAGAGGGCTATTCGTGCTGCTTATAATATGCACCCGAGGGAATCCTTGAGGGACAAGTTTAAGGAAATCAAAATTCTAACTTTAGCGTCACAATACGTTTTTGAAAATTTATTGTACGTGCGTAAAAACATTGAAGAATTCCCCAGAGTCTGCGATTTGCATAATGTGAACACTAGGAACAAACATAGGCTTGCGTTGCCGGCGGCTTGAATTAAGAAAATAAGCAACTCTTTGAGGGGGCTGGGTGTACAACTTTTCAACAAGATCCCACAAAACGTTCAATTACAACCTGTTCATAGATTTAAGAAAACTGTCAAGGAACGTTTGTGCAACAAGGCATATTATAAAGTTAAGGATTATCTACTAGATGGCACTACGTGGGAATGAGGCGTTCGCTCCTGGCCTTTTAATTTTTCATTATTATTATTATTTTGTAATTGTATTTTTTGACTTGTTTTTTCGTTTATTGCAAATATTTTACTTATTTAAAAAAATATATATATATATTTCAGAAAAAACAAAAAAAAAGCCCGCTGCGTTTGTTTCGGTTCTTCTCAGGACTGCGGCCTTTTTTGGAACCGGTGGTAGAGTTAACATTGTTATTCATATTTTGACATTCAACAAGTGTGTTATACTAACATCTAAGTTGAAATGAATGATTTTGAATTTGAATTTGAATTTTGTTGCGTTCGCATAGGACCCAACAATTTAAATGCCCCACAAACACTACATATCCGATTTGTAGAATAAACGTTAGAGTGCCATTGGACCTGTGGGACGTGGATCCTTTGGACGATAATCTGTGTCTCGAACTTAGAGAGCATAATAATATAAAATCAACATCGAGACAGCGACCTGAAAAAGTAAATTCCTAATCCTGACGCCGTAATTACATCCCTGATCTTTTTTTTTTATTGCTTAGATGGGCAGACGAGCTCACAGCCCACCTGGTGTTAAGTGGTTACTGGAGCCCATAGACATCTACAACGTAAATGCGCCACCCACCTTGAGATGTAAGTTCTAAAGTCTCAGTATAGTTACAACGGCTACCCCACCCTTCAAACCGAAACGCATTACTGCTTCACGGCAGAAATAGGCAGGGCGGTGGTACCTACCCGTGCGGACTCACAAGAGGTCCTACCACCAGATCTTAGCAGCAACTAGTAATAGTCGTCGCCCTAGATAAGTCGCCTGATGAATCTATTCGATCAAGTGCCAATACTATTGGACGCTTTTAGTTCTAACGCAAGAAGCAGCAGNCCCACCCTTCAAACCGAAACGCATTACTGCTTCACGGCAGAAATAGGCAGGGCGGTGGTACCTACCCGTGCGGACTCACAAGAGGTCCTACCACCAGATCTTAGCAGCAACTAGTAATAGTCGTCGCCCTAGATAAGTCGCCTGATGAATCTATTCGATCAAGTGCCAATACTATTGGACGCTTTTAGTTCTAACGCAAGAAGCAGCAGATCTATAATAAAACTATTCATTGCATTTACAGTCAAACTATTCGTTTGCGATCGCTTGGGAATATGAACAAGCCAGTGGTACAGCCAAAACTATACACATTTTAATCGCAATTAAAATGGACATGTCACAGTGCTGAAGAGACACACTTGTCGTCATCCCTAGAGGCTTGCTAGAGTGACGGGTCATGCAATGCCCACAGCCAGCGTCTTCGTCATAACCAGGTTGTTTGTTCACTTTTTAGGAGGCCTACCTTCGCGGCGCCTTCCGGTGTATGTTCGATACTCGAGAACTTTTTGGGACCACCAGGAATCTGTTTTACTAGCAATTCCAACAGCCACTTCAACCTCATATTAAACTAAAACCAGATTTTGATGCTTTGCAAATATTTATTTTTCAATTTCAGGATTTCGTTGCATCATGCCAGTTGATGTCTTCAGTAAAAGCGACCACCGTATCCGCAGCCGCAGGTAGGGGCGCAATGTCCGCAGATAGACACGCAGCCGCCAGCGCAGGCGGGACCTCCGAACTCGACACCACCGATGATGGGCACGCGGCCGCCGACAGCGGTGACACCACCGACGGGCAGCACACCGGCGACACCCACATTACCAATGCCCTCGCCGCCATAGCCACCGTAACCACCGCCGTATCCGCCATAGCCATATCCGCCGCCGTATCCACCCAAGCCGTAGCCGAGTCCGTAACCGCCCAGGCCGCCTCCACAGCCGCAGCCTCCCAGTCCGTACACGTTCTAAAATATTTACATAGAATAATTTTTTGGTGAAAAATCAAATAAAGTGTCTATACTAGATCTCGAATTTTACACACGTTCTAAAACAGTCACACAGATTAAACATTTGAAAAGAATCGCATACTACTACATTAAATACAACCGAGAAAGTTACAGAGGACTTTTCGTAACGTAAAATTTACCTTCAATAGAAAATAAATGAAATACTTACTTGGATCAGGCAAGCCTGAACGCAGAGGAGGAGGAAAGCGAAGGTGGACATGTTGCAATGTATTCAGACACTTGATCTAGAATGTTTCCAACTACAGAACATCCACCTTATATAGCAGCCGAGGGTCGTCGTAACCTTGAGATAACAGAACATTTTGTAACATAGCACCGTTGTACTAATCGTTGTTTAATTCAAGCCTTCTGAAAGGATTTCAAAATTTCATAGAATCAATGTTGATTTTGAAGGCGAAAATTGGGAAATAATGTCAAAAGTCACGTCAATAATTCATTAAGATAAACTCTACGAGAACGATAAGGCAAATAGTTGTGTATAAAAGCTGAAGCAGTTCAAGTGAACTCATTCTGAAGTCATTCAGTGAAACAACATGGCCGCTAAACTCATTCTCTTCGTCTACGCCACCGCCCTCGTGGCACAGGTACGTCTTTATAATACGCTTTTATTAGCTTCGTACGTATGTTAGTATGTACATATGTAACAGAAAGTTTGAACATCATTTTATTCCCTGTAAAAATGTTAGATTAAATATCAATGTCATAAAAGCGACCGACAACAATTCAATAATATCAACAACTAGTGATGTTTTGTTGGGACTATGACAGCTCTTCCACAATATTAACAAAACGTAATTCAACCGCTGTACAAATTAATAGCTTATTATTGACATGTAGATGTTTAACTGTAACATGATATTGAATAAACAATAGTTTAAGAAAACTAAAAAATACTCTTTTATCCAACAAAAAAATAAAATTAATCAATTGTAAAAAAGCGAGAGGTGCTTTTTAAGATAATGTCAAAATCGTAATCCTTCTACTCATATCTGTCAATTATCGCTTTTTTTACAGTAAATTTATTATTTGAAACATGAGATACTTACTGGTGGTAGGACCCACCCCGTCTTTTTCTGCCGTGAAGCAGTAATGCGTTTCGGTTTGAAGGGCGGGCAGCTGTTGTAACTATACTGAGACCTTAGAACTTATGTCTCAAGGTGGATGGCGCATTTACGTTTTAGATATCTATGGGATCCAGTAACCACTTCTCCAGGTGAGCTGTGAGCTCGTCCACCCATCTTAAGCAATAAAAAAAAAAGATAAATTTCCTCAAACCGTAAATATTAAATTGTTCCTTATTCTTGTTCACAGTCCGTTTTGGGCATCGGTTGTGGTTGCGGATGTGGCGGTTGGGGCTATGGTGGTCTGGGCTACGGTGGTCTGGGCTACGGTGGTCTGGGCTACGGTGGTCTGGGCTACGGTGGCCTGGGCTACGGTGGTCTGGGTTACAGTGGTTACGGCTTCGGGGGCTTCGGCGCTGGATATGGTGGTTTCTCCGGTGGCGGTCTCGTTGTGTCTTCTGCCTCGGCTGCTCCTACTGGCCTAGGTGTACGTTCCGAGAACAGGTACGAGGGTTCCGTCGGTGTCTGCGGTAACGTACCTTTCGTTGGTACCGCTGAGGTCGCTGGCGAGTTCCCCACCGGTGGTATTGGTGATATCAACTACAGCTGCGGAGATGGCGTGGTCGCTATCANAGTTCCCCACCGGTGGTATTGGTGATATCAACTACAGCTGCGGAGATGGCGTGGTCGCTATCACCCGAGAGGATGGATTCGGCTATGGTGCTGGCTATGGTCTGGGCTACGGAGGCGGCTACGGTCTCGGCTATGGAGGCTACGGCGGATGCGGATGTGGCTGCGGATACTAAATATGATAACATGACTTACGGCTGAATTTACTCGACTTGATTGCGAAATAAAATTTAATTGCAGCAAATGTAGTTTGTTACTATTCATTTTATAATAGTAGTTTTCGTTAGCTCCCTGAATTATGAAAATAAACACACTTTATATACAAAAGTACAATCTATATTTTAGTATTACAGAGTGAACTGACTAACTTGCAAACAAGACCACAATAGATTTCATAATTCAAACTTAATTATTATAAGGAAAACAAACAAGACTTCGTAACCTGATCAAACGAAATGGCTTTTCGGTGTTCAAATCTTACAGGCAGATTATTATTAAGCTATTGCATAGCTTTTATCGCGGGCTTTGAGCGCGGCGACCGAATCAGGAAAATCCGTAACAAAAATAAAACCTAACACCCCCACTCCGCCTATCATGTAGCTCGCGTTCAACACGTTCACACGTTGCGCTTGTGTAGTATTTGTGAATAAGCGCGCGGCGTGACGTCGCACTGCATGCGCATCATGAAAAGTCTGTCCATCTCTCTCTCGCGCGGTCTAGCTTATGAGTGTGAAGGGGACAGTTAATGTTTTGTTTTTGTTAATATTTATAAATATAGAGTGGTCTTATTTTATTATTGTTTTAATATTAAATTATTATTGTCTAATTATAATTGCATAAGTTGATAAAAATGCTTTACCGCGGCAGTCCCTGACAAGTGTCTTTTTTCTCTTTTTTCTATGTTTAAAGTATTTCTGGTGGCCCGGGGGCCTTTCCAGTTTCACCAGGACAGGTGGACGAGCAAAAGCTCGGCCAGGAGTGGTGAGATTTGCTAATAGCTGCCCGAGCGCCTCCGAAGAAAGCCTAAGAACTCAAGAGTAGCTGATTCGCGAATGAATCTACCACTGGATCGGAATCGCGACCCGCTGAGAAGATCCGGCGAGAAACTCAGTCGGCTGATACATGGGTTAGGTTGCACGTCGAACACTTTGCCGAGTTCGACGAGTACGGCGAGTACGGTTACCGGGATCCCTAATCCTGCTCCTAGTGTTAGAGCTGAAGGTGTCTAATGCAAGAGTTATTGGGTCTGGTGGAGATGATAAATAGCTTGCGAGACAAGCACCTTACAGGGTCTAAATCGGCATAGGAATCAGACGGAAGTGAAAAAGCGATATTTAATATTTAAGCGATATTTATGATAGTTAATGTCAAGATGTCCAAATCCACAGTTGACAGGGGTATAATAAAACCGCTGTCAGTTAGGACGATTTCGTAGCGTTGTCGAAAAAGGCCCCTTATAGCAGTCTGGTAACATCGAGCAAAGGAGTTAATTTAGAACCTGACATGTGGTAAGAAATATATGCATACGCATTGCACACGAACGCAGTGGAGAATTACATGGCGTAGTGGAGAGTGGTGTGGTAATAAAATGGAAAAGCATCGCAAATACTGATAATAAAGCGTATGGGTTTACCCGTATGGGTAGGTTCCACCACCTTGCCTGATCCTGATATAAAGCAGTCTAGCGTTACTTTTCGAAGGGTGCAAAAGGCGGTATACTGTTCAATTTAGATTTGAATCTTGTGCTTCAAGATGGATGGCGGTTTCCAAGTTGTGAAATGAGCTCCGATAACACCGGTAGCACGTGCGATAACTAAGAAAACTGAAATATTTATATACCAAATGCAAATGGTGTTTTAATAGTATCACAAAATGGTACTAAAGCTTCTTAACAAAGTATGTGAAAGGACTTACAGAAAAACAAGAAATAAATTAAAATATTTGTTTTATTTTATCATATTAGGATCATATTCGTTTCCAATTTTACTGACGGCAACTTGACATTTCTTAGTAGATAGTGCTGCGGCCGCATCTGCAGATGGGTGCGCAGTGTCCGCAGATAGAGACGGTACCAACGGCGCAGGTCTGACCTCCGTACTCGACGGCACCGATGATGGGCACGCGACCAATGATAGCGGTGGTACCAGCGACGGGCAGCTCACCGGCAACACCCACGTTGCCGATTCCCTCGCCGCCATATGAGCCACAACCGGCGCCGTATTCTCCGTCGATTCCGTTCCACCCAGCACCGAGTCCATTCCAGCCTGCTCCAAGTCCGTTCCAGCCGTTCCAGCCAGCTCCGCAGCCGCAACCACCTAACCCTCCCAAATACTGGCCGTAGACATTCTATAAACATAATGTACCTTTGTTTGAATTTCAATCCAATATCTCGCTTCATAATCTATCACTATGGTCATAATAGAAATACGTGTAATGATGTAGAAAGAGTGTCGTCGCCGCAGCAATGCCACACAAGCGACTTACAACCTTAGTGTACGGATTGAATAGTGCAGAAGAACGCATGACTCTTTGTTGTTTTAACCGCTTCCGACATGGAAATTTTAATCTGAAAGATGAACCCTTTTGTCGCTCGAAATCTAGAGTTAATAACAACGAATTAAGGGTGAAAGTGGAAGCTGACGATACTCAGCCACTGCTGTGTTAGCATCAGCTTTCAACTTTAGCATAAGAATAATATTGGTCTATTTGCGTCAAATTTGTAAGGTAAAAAAAAATTGATAAGTGGTTGCCACAAGATCTGAACGATCTCCAGCGCAACGATTGCGTTAAGGTATGCCTTTTGTTGCTTAAAGAAACGAAGGGATTTCGAACCGCATTGTCACTTGCGATGAAAAATGGATACATTATGATAATAGTAAGCAGTCGTCGTGTTGGCTAGACCCTGGTGCAGCACCTAAGCAATGCCCGAAACGAAAGCTTACCCCTAAACAGCCACGTTCACTGTTGGTGGTCTAGTGCCGGTATTATTCATCACAGCTTCTTAACAAATTACAACAGCGCCAACAATTTTTTTTTTATTGCTTAGGTGGGTGGACGAGCTCACAGCCCACCTGGTGTTAAGTGGTTACAGGTTCCCATAGACATCTACAACGTAAATGCGCCACCCACCTTGAGATATAAATTCTAAGATCTCACTATAGTTACAACGGCTGCCACACCCTTCAAACCAAAACGCATTATTGCTTCACGGCAGAAATAGGCAGAACGGTGGTACCTACTCGCGTGGACTCACAAGAGGTCCTACCACCAGTAATTACGCAAATTATAATTTTGCGGGGTTGATTTTTTATTACACGATGTTATTCACCCTGGAAGTCAATTTTGAACATTTTTTGATTACGTATTTCATTAGAAAAATTGGTACCCGCTTGAGATTTGAACACCGGTGCATCGCTCAACACGAATGCACCGGACGTCTTATCCTTTAGGCCACGATGACTTCTAAAATATCACGTGGGCCATGAGCTCCTCCACATATATGACACAAAGTATGTCAAGAAATAAGTAAAACAACGCAGAGAACGCTTCTGCCCATTCGGCTTCGAATCCTTTATTCGCTACTTGTGACACTTACTGGAAGAATGTGAGAGTAAGGTGGTGATATTCTGGGCCGAAATTTCACAGCCAACTTGTGTATGTAGTGGGTAAGCAAAAACTTTTAAGAAACAAGGTACTCACTTGGATGAGGCAAACCTGCACACAGAGGATGAAGAAAGTGAAGGTAAAAGACATGTTGCTGTAATATATTCACGAACTGGCCACAGAATCATTTTACGTCCAAACAATATATAGTATCTACACATTTATACTGCCTTTTTTTATATTACATTTAATCCAATTTCATTAGGTTTTCGAAATAGTCATTCTTGATAGTACAATACTTTTCTTTTTGTGTAAATTACCACGTACCGTTGTATATTTTCGCCCCAATTTCACCATTGTTAGATAACACTGTTGTGAAAAGGGTTTACAACTCCGATGAGTGTGAGTCACGTATAGTAAATAGATAATGGATGCATTAGAAAACTTATTTGTATAAAACGAGGAATAGCTTACACTGAACTCATTGTGTAGTCATTCAGCGAAACAACATGGCCGCTAAACTCATTCTCTTGGTCTGCATCTCAGCTCTTGCTCAGGTTGGTGAATTTTCTTATACACTGTTTTTTTGCTAATTCTGTATGCTAAAACTGTATTATATTTAATCAGATGTGTCCACGGTCTAACGCATAAGACGCGAGGTGCTAAGTGTATCCAATAACTCCTAACACGTGCCCACGAACGACTCCCAATAAGGAGCTTCATGTGTTAGCAATGAAAGCACCCAAATTTTATGACCTACGTTATTACTGACAAGAGTAAACACCACTATCGCTATCAGGGATAGTTGTAGCATGCGTTGCAGTTTGAGAGTTGAGCTGAGCGTGATATAGTGCTTTTGAGACTTTAACCCTTCATCTGAAGGTTGATATTGAAATATCTGTGGAGTACGGTTCTCATGAATTCATGTTTTCTGTAATTTGTAGTCTGCTATGGGCATCGGTTGTGGCTGCGGTGGACGTGGCTACGGAGGTCTTGGGTAGGGAGGACCTGGGTACGGTGGACTCGGATATGGTGGGCTCGGATATGGTGGCTACGGCGGTCTCGGAGGAGGATGTGGCCGAGGCTTCTCAGGTGGAAGCCTTCCTGTAGCAACCTCCTCTGCCGCCCCTACTGGTCTGGGTGTCGCGTCCGAAAACGAATACGAAGGTACTGTCGCTGTCTGCGGTAACCTACCTTTCCTAGGCTCCGCTCTAGTAGAGGGCGTCTTCCCCACTGCGGGTCTTGGCGGTATCTTCTACGGCTGCGGCGATGGCTTCGTCGGCATCACCGCTGAGAGAGGTAACGGTTATGCTGGTGGTCTGGGCTACGGTGCTGGATATGATGGCATCGGCTACGGCACTGGATACGGTCTCGGCTACGCCGGAAACGGATGCGGTTGCGGTTATGGTGGAATCTAGTGATTAACCAACCAACTAATCATGTACCGATAAAATCTGCATACAATAAACATATTTTGATTTATCCGCTGTTGTTTTAATTGTGATCATTGGAGTAACGTGTTATTTTGGTAGCTCTAACGGAATGTCAAACTCACAGCCCTTTTGAGCAATAAGATCATAGGCAAGTTTTTATGCAGTGATCTGTCGTTGTGGATGACAACGTCCTGAGCTGAGGTCAAGTCGGGATTGGAAAGGTCTGAAGCGACGACTAGTTAAGCATAGAGCAATTCTGTTGCAGAGAATCTATCCTATATCCCACGTTTGTGCAGATATTATTTTGTATGAATCATTTACCGTGATCTGTTTTGTTTTCATTTTATAATTGCATATGCTTGTCTTAATGCATGGTGGTAACGAAACGATATTAGTACTATTGCTAATTATTGAAGTGAAATTTCTTTAGAATCGTTGTGATTTCAAACTCGATGAAACGAAATGAAACGAAACAAAAAAATAAGTCCATAGAGACACAAACACAGGGGGGTGAAGCTGGTTATAGGTATGGGTGGGAACATGCGGGAGCCGAGCCTGTATGGCCTCTACAAAATGCCTAAAAATCTCCCTGCATAACTTTGGTGGTGAAGTATTCAAGAATGCAGGGACCAGCCAGTCCGATGTGTCCACGTCCCCGTCGTACCCCCTGGGACTTTCTGTGACCGGGCCATGTGCACGTACACCATTCAAGTTCTGATCACAGATGCTAAGGACAAAGGGCAAAAGGCGAGTGGCCGGCGCCTTAAAACCGGTCCGAACTCGATAGGGACGATACCCGATACATAACGGAGTGAGTTTTCGCACTCAAAGTGGCAGCCCCACTAGAAACCTAGGGTGCAGAGGGTTAATCACCCACTCATCCAAAAATTAAACGATTATGAAAGGAAAAGTAATGTTACCGGACCGGATTTTTTCAAAACGAACTGGCGATGTTAAAACGGCAAACGAATTTAGCTTATGCACATGGAATGTTAGAACTCTCTATAGACTGGCAGCCTTCCAGGTCTTATGCCAGCAACTGACACAACACAGAGCCGATGTCACAGCCTTACAGGAGATTAGATGGGTGGGACAAGGCGTAGTTAAAAGGGCAGACTATACAGCGTACTATAGTTGTCACCCAAAGCATCACTTGTTTGGAACAGGGTTCGTAGTCGGCAAGCGGCTTCAACCCCTTATCATTGACTTCCAGCCAATTAACGAGCGTATGTGTTCAATTAGAATAAAAGGTAAATTTCAAAACTACACCATTATTAACGTACATGCCCCAACGGAAGAAAGCGCCCCAGAAGAGAAAGAGAAGTGGTACTATGATGTGGAAAGTGTATACTCTAAAGCACTCAAAGGTGACGTTAAAGTAATAATAGGAGATCTAAATACGAAAATTGGCCGAGAAAAGGTATACCGTCCAACAATTGGACTACATAGTCTCCACGAAACCTCCAATGATAACGGCACCCGACTTATTGACCTTGCTTCATCTTTGAATATGGCTATTGGAAGCACATGTTTTCCGCACAAGAACATACACAAAGTTACCTGGTTTTCCGCTGACGGGGTTACCCGTAACCCAATTGACCATATTTTGATTGACCGTAGACATTACTCAAACCTCCTGGACGTTAGGTGCCACAGAGGAGCCAACATAGATTCGGACCACTATTTAGTCGTTTGCAAAATGAGGGCAAGAATATCGCAAACAAGTACACCAAGTACTGTTAGGACAAGAAAGTTTGATACCTCAAAGTTAAAGCGACGGCCAGGGGTGAACTCTGAGTACATTGAGTGTGTGGGCCAAAAACTGGATAAGATAATAGAAATAGTAATGTAGATTTTGATGAAATATGGCAACGCCTGAAATCTGCAGTTACAACAGCAGCTACGAAAGTTCTTGGACACGAAGAAAAGCGAAAACGGAATGGGTGGTTCGACGATGAATGCCAAAAAGTCACAGATGCGAAGAATAAGGCTCATAAATTATTGCAGCAAAAACTCACTCGGTGTCGTAGAGAGGATTACAGAAACCTTAGGATTAAAGAAAAACAGCTACACAAAAGGAAGAAACGAATGTTTGAAGAGCAACAACTTAAGGAAATTGCAAATAGTTACTCAAAGCAGGAATCCAGGATTTTCTACAAGCAAGTGAATAGCGGAAAGAAGGAATTTAAACCAAGAACCTCAGCCTGTAGAAATAAAGATGGCCAACTGCTTAATGACAGAACAGAAGTCATTAAAAGGTGGGCAGAACACTTGCAAGAGCTATTAAACAAACCATCAGTTGCTACTCATATCGATGAAGTCGAAGCTCCACTTAATCATCAGTGGCTAGAAGTGTCCCAACCGTCTCTGGAAGACACCAGAGCTGCCAGCCAAAAACTCAAAAACAATAAAGCTCCAGGGAACGACAACATCCAGGGTGAACTGCTAAAATACGCTGGGTCCCAGTTTGAAGAGGAATTCCATAAACTAGTACTGCAGATATGGAATTCTGAAGTTATGCCTGAGGAATGGAACACAGCGGTTATTTGTCCTCTCCACAAGAATGGCGATGTTCTCGACTGTCAGAACTATCGAGGCATTTCACTCCTCAATACAGCATATAAGATATTTGCGAACGTTCTCTTTGGCAAATTAAAACCTTTCGTGGAGCCTAGACTAGGAGAATATCAGTGTGGTTTCCGACCTGGCAGATCAACCATTGACCAAATCTTCTCCCTACGACAAATACTTGAAAAAACTCTTGAGTTTAATGCTGACACGTGTCACCTTTTTATTGATTTTAAAGCTGCCTACGACAACATAAGCCGTGATTTCCTATACCAGGCTATGCATGAGATTGGTGTACCACCGAAGCTTATATCTTTAACAAGGATGACACTGATTGCATCGCAAAGCATTGTTAAGATCCAAACAGACCTATCGGATCCTTTTAGAACCCATGATGGACTAAGGCAGGGTGATGCCCTCTCCTGCCTTCTTTTCAATGTTGCACTCGATAAGTGTATCCGTGACTCAGCAATAGAGACGACGGGCAATATATATTACAAATCCGCTCAAGTACTGGGATATGCGGATGATATTGACGTCATTGGCAGAACAGCTCTCGCAGTAGAAAGTGCATACCTTGCTCTCGAGGCCTCGTCTCTCGAAGCCGGTCTCCAAGTAAACGCAGACAAAACTAAATTCCTGAGGGTGTCGAGGGACTTACGTGAGGACACAGCGCATAAAAATATTGGCCAGAATACTTTTGGATCTGTGAATGAATTTGTATATCTTGGTTCTCTGATAACGAATAATAATAATATAACAGCAGAAATAGTTAAGAGAATACTGTCGGCGAATAAATGCTACTTCGGCTTGCTTAAATATTTCTGTTCCAAAATTCTGTCACGAAATATCAAAATTATTTTATACAAAACCCTACTGAGACCCATTCTTATTTATGGCTCAGAGACATGGGTACTCAGCAAAAAAAATGAGAACCGTCTACTTGTGTTCGAGCGTAAGATTCTAAGACGGATATTCGGTGCTGTGCAGCAAAACGAGATATGGAGGACGCGCTATAACCACGAGTTGTATGATGTTTACAAAGATCCTAACATCATAACAACTATAAAGATTGGACGCCTACGATGGGTAGGACATGTGGTTCGAATGGAGAGTACCAGAATGCCGAGACAATTGCTCTATGGCAAACCAGAGGGCCGCAGAAGTCGTGGCAGACCCAAACTCCGATGGTTGGATGGCGTGGAGCGCGACCTCAAAAATATCGGCGTCAAGAACTGGAAGGAGAAAGCCCTGAACAGAGCAGTCTGGAGAGACATACTGGACCAGGCTAAGGCCCACCCTGGGCTGTAAGGCCTAAGATGATGATGATNATCAAAATTCTTTTATACAAGACCCTACTGAGACCCATTCTTATTTATGGCTCAGAGACATGGGTACTCAGCAAAAAAGATGAGAACCGTCTACTTGTGTTCGAGCGTAAGATTCTAAGACGGATATTCGGTGCTGTGCAGCAAAACGAGATATGGAGGACGCGCTATAACCACGAGTTGTATGATGTTTACAAAGATCCTAACATCATAACAACTATAAAGATTGGACGCCTACGATGGGTAGGACATGTGGTTCGAATGGAGAGTACCAGAATGCCGAGACAATTGCTCTATGGCAAACCAGAGGGCCGCAGAAGTCGTGGCAGACCCAAACTCCGATGGTTGGATGGCGTGGAGCGCGACCTCAAAAATATCGGCGTCAAGAACTGGAAGGAGAAAGCCCTGAACAGAGCAGTCTGGAGAGACATACTGGACCAGGCTAAGGCCCACCCTGGGCTGTAAGGCCTAAGATGATGATGATGAGATACAAACACATAAATGTATAGGATTCAGCCGGCGAGAGAATGAGATAGAACACATTATACGCTACCTCATACTATAAAAGATGATTTACAATTATTTCTATTTAGTTTGTTATCAACAGATGTCGCTGCACGTAAATTCAACAATTCCTGAATCGCGGTGACGAGATGTTACACAGTTGATAGACGTTCTCGTATTTCTCTCCCAGGCGGTTCCCCCAAAGTGAGGCTGCTCCATTGCACTGCAGAGTAGTTGACCCTTGCCATTTTTTTTTTATAAATTTAACTTCTGCCGTTTGTGACTTGCACTAGCGATGTGAACCGATTACAATTTCTGGCTCCGGTTTATTAATGGTTTTTTTCTCAAAAAACCGGTTTTTTTAGGTATTTTTAGGTTTTTTCCATAAAGGCTAAATAATCACTAAATTTACGTGCAAACGAAGAGTTTTCTTCATACAATTGATTAGGTGATCATATTTTATATGCGTTTTTAACGATCATATTTATATTATCCAATAATAAAAAGCTTTTTATTTTTGATCTAATACTATTGTATTAAATCAAAATTGTGATGCAAGAAGCATAGTTGGTCCACTGCGTCATCCAGAAACCTGCTCCTATTGGATGTTACCACGTACCCTGACGTCGAAAACAAACGTTCGGAAGGCACAGAAGTTGCTGGGACTGATAGGTATTTAAATGCTATTTTGTTTAAAGGCCTTAAATGACTATTGCTCATCCAAAGAGTCCCATCAATTTCGGTGTGGTTTCCTATGGCGGCTTCAGTCTTAATATACATTCGCACTATATTCACTGCGGCCGCCGTGGCGTCGGCGGCGTTTGTCAATGTAATGCACGGTAATTTGAGTCTGAAACTCGATTTTTTTTTTAGGTAGCTTGTATATTCGATCTGGTAGCACTGGTATGAACTGTGAATGTAACGCGTAATTAAAAACCGGTATTCTTAAATAAAAACCGGTGTTTATCGGTATGTATAAAAACCGGTTTTTCTCCGGTTTTCTTCGAACCGGTTTACATCCCTAACTTGCACCGCACACACACACACACACATTTTTTATCCTTGAGATTATACTGAAAGAACTTGTCCTGTTTTATCTACCATAAAAACTGGTGTTAGAGCTGAAGGCGTCTAATGAAAAGGTTATTGGATCAGATGGATCCGTAAGGACGTGACTAGGGCGTCGACGGTGACTGGCTCCTGCGTAATCAGGATTCGGGGAGTAGTCAGCGGCGGCAACGATAAGGCGATTATCATGACGCATAGGCTTATCGAAGTACTGTTCCGACGCTGACTTCATGTATTTCTGGATAGATTCGAGGCCCAGGTCGTCGTGTAGGTCAACGTTCCTCACGAACCACGGAGCTCTGACGGCTAACCTGCAAAAGCGGGATTGTAGAGATTGGAGAGTGTCTATGTGTGTGCGGGCCGCGTGAGCGAACACCACACTCGCGTAGGTCATGACGGTCCTTATGCAAGTTTTGTAAAGTGTCACCTTGTTCCGAAGGGACATTTTACTCCGCTTACAGATCATGGGGTAAGCCCCACCCTTCAAGCCGAAACGCATTACTGCTTCACGGCAGAATAGGCAGGGAGTCCGCACCTACCCGTGCGGACTCAAAAGAGGTCCTACCAATAGTAGAATTAAATTTTAAGTACGATTAAATTTTAAGGTCCAATAATCGTTATAGGTAGGCAGCGGCTTGGCTCTGCCCCTGGCATTGCTGAAGTCCATGGGCGACGGTAAAAACCCACCATTAGGTGGGCCGTATGCTCGTCTACAAGGGCAATAAAAAAACCGTAATCCGATTTAATAAATTTGAACCAATTAAATAGATATATCTGGGAGAAAAAAACCGCGTACAGAAAAAACTCAAAGCAAAATTCGAGCTCTATTATAGACACTATTTGATTTTCCACCAAAATGTTATTTTATGTAAATCTTTTAGAACGTGTACGGACAGTGCCTGGGTAGAGGACTGGGAGGCTGCGGCTGTAGAGGCAGCCTGGGAGGCTACGGACGCGGCTACGGCTTGGGTGGACACGGCGGCGGATATGGCTATGGCGGCGAGGGCGTCGGTAATGTGGGTGTCGCCGGTGAGCTGCCCGTCGGTGGTGTCACCACTGTCGGTGGCCGCGTGCCCATCATCGGTGGTGTCGAATTCGGAGGTCCCGCCTGCGCCGGCGGCTGCGTCTCTATCTGCGGACGCTGTGCTCCTACCTGCGGGTGTGGTCGTGGTGGCTACTACTAAGAAGGCATATTTTTGCTGTGTCGAAAAATTTCGATCAGGCGATAAATAAATGACTTAATTGAATATATACTTAACTGTTTTGTTTACTGACACATTATCGTGCTGCGAAGCTTTCTGACGCTGTCTTCTGATCTTACAAAATGGTTCGAAGTCTAGATCGTTATGAAGATTTACTGAATTCCTAATTACCAAAATGACTACATTCTTTACAAACCGTGGCACTCCGACGGTTTTCCAATAAAAATGGGATTGTGTGATGTGAAGGTTCTTAATGTGACTTCAGGCCGCATGAAAACGCCACACTTACAAAAGCCCTCACTCAAAATACTGTATTGCGATGCGAATAAACTAAGCTGGTGCAAAATGGGAATTACTCGGAAATAAATACCAGACTTTCATGTTTACCAGAGTTTATTCGAACTTATAAGTTTATTTTATCATCATTATCATGTTCTACAAGTAGACGTCACCGCAACCACAACCGCATCCAACGTATTCTCCATAGCCTAAGCCGTAGCCAAGTCCACTCGCGTAGCCGAGTCCACCAGCGTAGTCAAGTCCTCCAGCGTAGCCGAGACCACCTTCAGCGGTAATGGCGACTGCTCCATCGCCGCAGCTGTAGTTGATCTCACCAATGCCCGCAGTGGGGAACTCGCCTGCGACATCAGCGGTGCCCAGGAATGGAATCTTGCCGCACACATCGACAGCGCCTTCGTATCTGTTCTCGGAAGCTATGCCGAGACCAGTAGGCGCGGCAGAGGAGGTGACGACGAATAACCCTCCTCCGTGGGAGGCTGCAAGAGAACTAGCAGCGGTGAGACCACAGCCAGCGGTGTAACCGAGGCCACGGTAGTTGAGATTCCCGCATCCACAACCATTGTTCACGCGGCCGATGTACTGGCCAACTGTGGACTAAACGAGAAGTATTTTAGTTTACAAAAATCACTTTTATTTATTTATTTATTTATTTTTTAAACCTATACTCGTATTAGCTAATAATTACCGCACCTTGTACTTTTAAGTCGAACGTTTTGTTTTTGTTGGATTGCTTTTGTTTATAATACAGTACAGCCGTGAAGCAGTAATGCGTTTCGGTTTAAAGGGTGGGACAGCCGTTGTAACAATTTTTTTTTTCGGGCCTGGGCCGAACCTCCTACGAGGTCCCCGCGCATAAGAGGCGCGCGGTGTATGTGAGACTCAACGATCTGCATGGTGTTGTGAGCAGACCGCGGGCCCAAGGATTCTAGGGTCCACCCACTAAACGACTCCCCTGCACTCTTACACCCGACGTCCGATCTCCGTCCGGGGTCAAAACCCGGTCAGAGTATGGGGGGTTCCAGCGGTCAACACTACAACCAGACACGCGGCGCCACCCCGAGGATGCCCGACCGAGGGGCCGTCGAGGCGATAGTCGACGACCAACGACATCGGTCTCCGCGGTACGGCGGCCCTATCAGACCGCCCAGGCGATGCCGCTGGTGTACCGGGATACCCCGCTGGGCCAGAACCAGCCTGCCGGGTCGGAACGCGATACACCGCCGACCGGGTTGCGCTTCCACAGTATATTCGGCGATGACAGCGCCGACGAAAATGCGGACCGCATTGCAGTCCGCAGCCGCCAACGCGTCGTCCCGTCCTCCTGGTGCCAGCGCGCTAAAGTGACGGTAGCATGCGGCGCAGCCTCAGGTCGCCCCGTGACCTTCACCAGGGGGAAGAGACTGCCTCCTCATAGGGGCCGGAGCTGGACAAACGCCCTCCTCCGACCCCCGGCTCGACGGCGGCGGCACGGCGCCGAGAGGGAAGAAGAGCTCTCCCTCTCCCGTTCCGCCGCCTCCTTCTGCGAGATGGTGAACTCGCAGAAATCGAGCATCGCCTGCCAGGACTCGTCGCTGTCGAGCATCGTAGCCACGACGGTTGGAAGCGACAAGTCCGGTCCTATTTTTGCAACGAGGACCCGGCGCTGCTCCGCGAAAGCGGGGCAGTACGCGAGCGTGTGCTCCGCCGTGTCCTCGTTGCAGCCACTGCAGTGGTGGCACTTCGGCGTCGGCTCCCCCTGGGCGACGAGGTGCAAGCCGTTGTAACTATACTGAGACCTTAGAACTTATATCTCAAGGTGGGTGGCGGCAAAGATCGACCTTACCAGTAACATTATTATAGACATATCTATGAGTATACTATCCCAAAATGGGTATATATATAAAGCTGAAATGTGGATATAGGATCATGGGCTCGTCATATAAGAAATTAAAAAATCTTAATGTATTTACATTTAAATAAGTACTCACCTGAACCGCGAGAGCAGATACGGACAAGAAGAGAATAATCTTGGCTGCCATGTTGTTTTACTGAGGTATACTTGTATACTCTTTCAACTACCAAATTTCTGTTTTTATATAGTTTTGTTGCCAACCGCTATCTCTATTACGTGACAAACTAGAAACTATGTCCCTTTATATAAAATCATTAGGTAATTTCAGTAATAATTACGTAAACACAGATATGTGATTTAGAACTAAAGCCTCAGTTATTATTGAATTTGTATTTTATTTTATATTTTGAATTTGATGAGTTACTTTAGACATTCTCTATTTTGAAGTTCGCTGGTTGTAAAAATGATTAATTTTAGAATTATAGACAATATGGAATTCGTTTTTTGATTTTTTTTATATGCGGGTCGTTTGTCGCTACCCACAAGAGGGAGTGTGGAAAAAGTTGGTGGCGCGCTAACGTTGGTAACTATACTGAGACCTTAGAACTTATATCTTTTTTTTATTGCCCTTGTAGGCAGACGAGCATACGGCCAGCCTGATGGTGAGTGGTTACCGTCGCCCATGGACTTCAGCAATGCTAGGGGCAGAGCCAAGCCGCTGCCCATCAAGGTGGGTGGCGCATTTACGTTGCATCTACAACGTAAATGGGCGTCTATGGGCTCCAGCAATAACTTAACACCAGGTGGGCTATGAGCTCGTCCATCCAACTAAGCAATAAAAAAAAAGGTATTACGTTCTGCAAAGCGGTCGGAAATTAATTTAAACGTATTCAATCTATCGTGGCTGGAAACAGGATAACGCATCTAAATGGATTCAATCAACGTTTGGTCCTTTATGGAGGGGTTCAACAACGAATGTGTCCAGTCCCAAAAGTGAGAGAGATTCAGTTCAGATATGACAATTCGGAGAGACTGAAGAATTCGTGATTGCTTTCAAATCGAAGAGGCTACATCAGATTTCAAACTGCTGCCATATTCATAAAGTAAAGATTTATAGATTTTACTTTATATTATTATGATTTACAATTCACAATCTTTTTATTTGAGGGATTACTGGTGGCCCGGAGATCTTTCTAGTTTCACCGGGACAGGCGGGCGAGCAAGGGCTCAACCAAAAGGGGTGAGATTTGCAAACAGCTACCCGAGCGCCTCCGAAGAACGCCTAGCAGCTCAAGAGCATCTGCTTCGCGAATGAATATACTATCGGATCGAAATCGCGACCCGCTGAGAAGATCCAGCGAAAAAATCAGCGGGCTGATATTTAGGTTAGGTTGCACGTCGAACTCTGTGCCAAGTTTGACGATTAGGATTACCGGGGTCCTTAAGCCTAAGAGTAACTAGGTTAAGAGTAACTGGGCTGGCCGGGTCGGCGGTGACCGAGGAATGTGCGCAGATTGAGTGCTGGACGTGTACTGGTTTTGCAATGTATCGGTCAGCAGTTCTGCTTGTTGGTCGTTATTGTAAGCCGTGAGTCGGCCTGAGGGGCCTACGAGGGGAGGCATAGTTACTACCGTATCCGATTTGAGAGTACGAGCAAAGCCATAGTAAGACCGTTGTGAGGACATGAGTCCTTCTAAGATATTAGACGGACGGACGTATTGGACTTCGACGATGCGAGATTTTACGTCCTATTGTAGAGCACCAATTGGAATACGATTCTCCTCGGTAGGATACCTATTGTAGGCATGGATCGAGGCGTTTTTGCGACAAAAAGCCAAGCTAACTTATTCAATGCAGGTGCAGGCAATGGACTGGCACGATACAAAAATAATCGGTGGAAAGTCATAACATCAGAGTGGATAGAGCCAAAAGGAAAAAGAATAGCAGGCAGACCGAAGAAAAGGTGGGCTGACGACATAACAGATATAGCAGGCAATGACTGGCTGATTATTTGCAATAAATAGGGACAACTAGGAAAAAAAAACAGAGAATCCGTATCCCAAAAAACGAACTATCTTAGATTAAAAGAAAAACATATATTTATATAAATATTAACAAATGAAAACCAACATTTACATCTTGCAATATAGCATTTACTATGTTGTTTACAGTAAAATGAGGAATATAGGCTTTTTTTTTTTTTTTTACTAGACTTGATGTAAAACTTACATTGGCGGACTTAATAGCTAAGGCATTCTCTACCAGTCAACCAAAGGTAGGTAGGTAGTGCAGAGTAAATAGTAGTATATCTGAGTTCATGAGCCCCCCTTTTCGCTCACATATGGCGAAGACTTCCTTGAGGGTTTTGGTCTATGGGCTGAACAGGACCATATCGTCTGCATAACTAATGTTGCTTATAAAAACATCCTTAATCGAAAAACCGGCTCTGCTGAGCTCAGGGACTAGGTCATCGACATAAAAGGTGAAGAGGTTCGGTGATTTTAGCCCCCTCCTAACACCACATTGCAGCAACATATCCTATAGCGTCTCCGACCATACCACCACATTATCCTGATTCCCGTATCAATACTGGTTGATTGGAGTCGGTATAGTTGGTAGTGACATAAGTTCGACTGGGTAAAATACTGGTGGTAGAATCTCTGCGAATCCGTATGAGAACTATCATCTCCCTGCCTATGTCAGCTATGAAACATTAACGCAATGCGATTTGAAGAGCGAGGCAGCCATTGTATTTACAAAACTGAGATTTGGAACTCATGTCTCAATATGGGTAAGGCGGCAGCTACGTTGTTGATGTCTATGTGCTCTCGTATACACATTACATCAGGAG